TCAACTGTGCCTACCCTGAAGGATACTGAAAGCCAGTGTGGAGTGGTAGTTAGAGCATTGGACTGGGGACCCAGGACATCTGTATTCTAGCCCCCACTTGGTCATGAAGCTCACTGGGTGAGTTTGGGTCAGTCACTCACTGTCAGCCCAACTTTTACTGCACAGGGTTGTTGTTGTGAGGATAAAACACAGCTATGTAAGCTACCTTGGGACTCTCACAATAGGAAAAGAGTAGGATATTATCACAATGCAGTAATAACACTGTATAATAATAATGTCTAAATGTCTGGTCTGGCCATGGTCACACATGCCTTATTTACGTGCATCCTATGCAGGCTGCTGTGAAGCACAGTACATGGGCCTGCCTTTGGAAACTCGTCAGAAACTTTGGCTGGTCCAGAATGCTGGAGCCAAACTGTTGACCGGGGCCAATTACAGGAAGCCTTTGACTCCCTTGTTACAACAGCTTCTCTGGCTACTTGTTGGTTTTTAGGACCAGTTCAAAGTACTAGTTGCGAGTTATAAAACGGCTTGGGAACTTGAAAGACTGTCTTCTCTCATACACAAATGTCCAGGTCTTAAAAAGTTTGGGAGAGGCACTTCTCTCAATAGCAGTTTTCGAAAGTGCATTTAATGATCACATGACATTCTAGGGAACTGCTTCCATGCAGTCTGCTCCCTCTGTGCTGTCCTTCCACTGGTAGGAAGCTCCTTTGCTGTAAGAGTGGTTCTGTTGGGTTGGTTGCTGGTTTTATTACTGTGTTATTCCTGTGTTATTACTTTTTATTGCATTGCTTTATCATTATTTGTGTTTTATCTATGACCGTAATTCCCCCTAAGTTCCATTTTTATTGGTAGAAAGGAAGGAAACAATTCAAATAAATAGGATGAATTTGAATTGCACTCTACTCATTATATGTCGGTGATGGCAATCCCAAACAGGAGGGAACAGAAAGTGTGTTCATCTCTTTAGTGACACTTTGACACCTCTTCTCATTTCTGGCTATGGTTTGGTTTGGTTTGGTTTGGTTTGGTTTGGGAAAGCAGAATTCTACAACCATTTCTGCAAATCCTATCTGTCACACTTACTTGTTACATGCCTACAGTTGATGTTCACAAATATCAAAGACCCTGACCAGTCCAGTAGGATAGTTATTTGTCCATCTCCAAATGTAGACCATCTGCTATAGCCACAGAGGATGTCTTTAGTGGAGTAGTACAGATCCATGAAACTCGGCTAGCCCTACCAGTAGGTGTGGTGAGGCCACCCACTTAAGGTAGAAAATTTGAGGGTATGATTCAGGGCCAATACACTGTCAGTTATTTAGCTTATTATCCAGTATTGTATGACCATGGGGATGCCATTCTAACTTTCTGCCTTGTGCCTATTTCTGCCAAGTTGGAAATTGATGCTGTCTAAGAATCTCTGAACTATGAAATGACTGCCTTATTCCCAAATGGAAGATTGTTAGCTGCCTGTGTCAATGATGTATTATTTGAGAGAAGAGCAATCACCCACTGTTTTCAGATTGCCAGAGACCCTGCATGTCCAAAGAAATGCATTAACAAACCCCAACATAAATCCTATTTAAAGTTGATCTAATTTCTTTCTCAGATGACAGCACAATAAGTATGAGCATTGGCATTAACCAAGGAACAAGTACTCTTGTTACTGGGGGTATCAAAAATGCCTGAGGCCGGTTATCTTCTGAGATTTCAGATTCCTTTCTTCCTACGCTCCCACTGATTTGGTTCAACAAGTTGGTTGTCTCCTCTTGGAAACAAACCTGCTTCAGAACTAGCTGAAAATGACCTTGTTGACCTGGAGAATGAATGGCAGAATAGAAATTTTACTTAGTCAGCTGATATGGTAGCAGCAAGTGTCTTCTTCCTCCACAATATAATTGCGGTTTCCTTGGATTTACATGGAATCTAAGATAGCAGAACTAAGGGAAAGATAACTGGACTATGAGTAACAACTGACTTGTATCAGACATAAAACTTTGTGGCATTGTCTCTTTTTAAAAGACCAGCAAGCTCCATCAGCTAACAATCCATTAAAAACACAATCCAAAATGCACCACATTATAAAATATAATTTTAAAACGTTGGCATACAAAAATTTTAAACCAAATTTGAAACACATAAAATTCCAATAACTTAAACAAGATAAATCTTGGAACCTCATTAAACTTCTAAGAAAGACCCAGTAAACTAAATCCCCTGTGGTAGAAGGCATTCTTAAACTGGCATTGAAAAGATAGCAAGGTTGGCACCAGGCAGGCCTTAGTGGGAAGCTCATTCCATAACTGAGGAGCTACCATTGAAGAGGCCATTTTTGCCACTAACCAAGCCTCCCTTGGAGATTGTAGGCAGAGGCAGGCCCCAAAGCTTAATTATACTGAGGAGATGGTGGTCAGGAAGGGTGTTCCGTCAGGTATTGTAGTGCCAAGCTGAGCAGGGATTTATAGATTAGAACCAGCACCTTGAATTGGGCTCAGAAGCATATAGGTAGCCAGTGCAAGCAGGCTAGAATTGGTATTTATATGCTCAGACTGTCTCTGTTATTAGTCTGGCTGCTGCATTTTGCATAAGCTGCAGTTTCTGAACAACAGCTTTAATCCAGACAAAAGTAGTGGTGATAAAGAGGAGCAGTAGATGCCACTGCCTGCTTGCTCACTGACTGTCTCTCTACCTGTCCAACAAGCAGGTAGTAGCAATGATGAGAAAGAGAATCAGATGATGGCAATGACATGGAGAGGCTAGACTGATTAAAGGGGCCTGCTGAAGGTGTCTTGGCCATGGGCTCTCTAAAACCTGGAGCTGGCATGGGTCATCACCTAGCTTCTAGCTAAAACTACTCAGATGTATTATGAGTGATCTACAGCCCATCTCCAACAATGGCATGTCCCCTCACATGCCTGAGTGAGATGCTTACTTGCAGACGGCCTAGTGCAGCTAGTCACTAGCAACAGACCACATAACTGATTTACAAAGGAACAAAATTCTGTGACAGATCCTGATGCCAATTTAGTCCCTACATCTACTCTGGCAACACTATTAATAATAATTTTACCCACAACAGGTGCTGCTTTTTAACCTATAAAGCAGTATGGCTTGGGACCATAATACCTGTCAAAGCATCTCTCCCTACCACAATCTACTCAAATACTATACTCAGTCTCTGGAACCTCCCTCTGAGTGAAGCTTGGAGCATGGCAACTACAAGGAGGGCTTTCTCTGTGGTAGCCCCTCATCTTTGCAACAACCTTCCCACTGAAGCCTGCCTGATGTCAATTTTTTCAATTTTCAACATAAAGTTAAGACAGCCCTTATGCCAGAGCATACTCAGATGTACTCAGCTATCCAGGAGTTTGAGGGGATTAGTGATGGTGATTTATTTTCCTCTGACATGTCATTTTTTTCTGTATATTTTAGCTATTATAAATTTATTTTAATGCTGCTTTTTATGATATTTCTATTTTATTGTCTTGTTTTTATGCATTGTTGAAAACAATCCAGAAAGCTTTGCCTATCGGGCAGTAAGAAATGAAATAATGATTAACATCAGGGGTTTATACAATGATCATCTTCCAACATGGCATATGCCATTGTCACCCATGCCATACTTTATTGTGCATTGGACAAAAATGTCTATTTCTGTACAAACAAATAAATGAATCCAGATTGGACATTAGAAATGGCATTAGTAAAAAATGCTTCCAGAACAACCTCCCAGGACACTCAGTCACTAACCTTGGTGAATGAAGGACAATGCAAAACAGCTGCAGTACAGTTAATCAAGAAGTTCAACTCTGTGGCTTAAGATCAACCAATGCTGGGATGTGTGTTTTAATTCCACAAAACCGTTTGGTGAATGGCAACTGTATACACAGTCATTACACTGCATTTTCTGCATTTCATTTTTTTCCACCACAGAATTTAAGAGTTATCTCTCTTCACCCCTCCACCTAGCAAACCTGTATGTATATACATTCTCACACACACCCCGAATTCAGGATAGCCATGCATTTGATGAAAGGGGCTGCAGTCCAGGAAAACGTTTGCTGCCATAAGCGTGTTAACACTTAAGGTGTCAAAACTCCTAGTTGCATTTGTACTCGAATGCACCGCCAATACGCTTGCGTGTTAGATTGCTAGCCATTAACTGCCAAATTCAACACCGCTGCGTATTCAGCAAGCATAAACCACCGGGAATCAAATTCAAATTAGAATGTCACAAGCACGTGCGTCAATCTCGCACTCCTACTGAAGAATGCGGCTCTTAAAAGCGCTTCAAGAGTTATTGCCGTGCCAGAGATCCCAAAATAAAACTTTAAAAGCATTTTCTGGCGATAGGCTCTCCCTGCGCCAGTACTGCCTTCCGAGAGTCTTTCGTTGACTGTCACATCACCAAGGGGCACCATTTTTCACCCACGCCACATGCTACGTTTAATTAGGAGTGCCCCTTTCGTGTCAAAAAAGCGTGTCTTGCGACAAAATGAGACAGCCGGAGAGCGGGGCGGGCACGCTTGGCGAGACTCCCAGGAAGAGGCGGGATCCCTGCTTCAGCGAGCGCTAGCCCTTGCCTTTCAGACAGGGAAACGCCAAGGAAACTGGATTCGGCCGGGCCTTTCTCCGTTGAGCGTGAACAGGACGGCGCCTTGAGCAGCCCCCTCACCTGACGGGCCCTTTCCTTTCCTCTCCTCTGAGGTGAGGCTCACTGGAGCCCCTCCCTCGCTGCGAAGCCTTGTTTTGCAACACCGCGCCTGACCGGGCGGCTGTCTGTTCCTGAGGTCCATTTATTCCAAGGGGAGGCCGGCGACGTCGGGAATTAATAATAGCAGCGGAGCGGCGCGTCGAGGCGCTCCAGGACGCCCGCCGCCGCCGCCAGCCCCGCCCCTCCGCCTGACCTCCCCCGCCCGGCTCCCGGCGCCGCGCGCCTGCGCGGCTCCGCCTCCCCGCGCCCCTCCGCCGCGCTTTTCTCCCTCCGTTCCTCTCTCCTCCTCCCGCTCTCTCCCCACGCCTCCCCCTCCCGCGCCGTCTGCCTTGGGCCTATAAAAGGAGCGGCCGGCGGGGGGCTTCTTTCTCAGTCTGCAGTAGAGCCCAGTGGCTGGAGCCGCCTCGGGAGGGAACTGCGGACGACGACGACGACACAGGCGGAGGCGAACTCCATTCTGGGCTTCGGGCCTTGAGCGGCCAGCCTGCCCCGCCGTCCCTCGGCGGGCGAGCGAGCGAGCGGCGGCTGCCGCGGCGGCAGCAGCACCCCTGACGGGGGCTCGACTGGGCCGCCGCCGCCCAGAGTCGCTCGCGTTCCCTCGGGGCCGCTCTGCGAGCCCTTTCCGTCCTCACAGCAGCCTCCCCCGTCGACGCCATGAGCTCAGGGACGCCGTATATCGGGAGCAAAATCAGCCTCATCTCCAAGGCGCAGATCCGCTACGAGGGCATCCTCTACACCATCGACACCGACAACTCCACCGTTGCGCTCGCCAAGGGTACGGCCTAAGCGGGGGGTGGCGGGAGAGAAAGAGAGGGCGGGGGGGGTTCGCTCCGAGTCAGGCCATCTTTCTTCTTTCTCCTCGGCCTGCCTCCCCCTGTCCGCCGCCCAGAAACACAGACAAGAGGGTGGCCGGGTAAGTGGGTGAGCCGGGAGGAACGTTGCGGGGGGGGGGGGGTGCTCAGCTTTGGCTAGTGGGGGGGCGCGGGAGGTGGGCCCACAGAGAAGAAGTCGCAGCATCTCGAATTCCTTTCTCTCTCTGCGTTTGCTTTCTTGCCTTGGGGGAGCAATAGGCGTCGAGGGGCGTGAGTGCAGCTTGATGGTGTTGAGTTTTGGGGGAGGGGGTTGGTGGGGGAGGGGAAGAGAGCAGCTGGGCTTTTACGGGGGGCGTGGATTACTGAATGGGCTCATTTATTTCTGCTGCAATTTTACCCAGGAATGAAAACCGACCAAAAACACAGCTTTCTATAGATGGTTCTCCCCCCCCCCTTCCCCTTTAAAACGAGGTAGGGGGTTTGGTGATAATCTAGGCAGGGACCAGGAGGTGAACGTAGAGGGGAGCGATCAGTGGTACAGCCTCCCCAGCACCACTAACCCACGCAGACTTACACACACACACACCCACCCACCCACCCACCCACCTACCTACCTACCTACCTTCCCCAGCCTTCCTGCAAAGGGATTGCTTTTAGAACTGGTGCTTTTTGAAACCCCATGGTGCTGAAGGAGGGGAAAAAATGTAAACTGGTCACTTAGGGGTTCTTTCTTTCTTTCTTTCTTTCTTTCTTTCTTTCTTTCTTTCTTTCTTTTTTTTTTGCAGAGAAGGTGATAAATTAAAAACCAGACATCACAGATGGAGGTCTGAAGCGACGGGCGGGGGGAGTCTTGTTTCAGTAGGCGTTGCAGCTTTGTTGGAAGGAAAATGTGTGCCTTTCCCAGGCTGTGCCCAGATAGGTGGCTAGAAAGCATTTCTATTCTTCATGGTACTTTAGGAAGAAATATATCTGAGGCAACCTGCTGCTTCCAGTTATTTTTAATTGCCTTTGTAGATAGCTATTAAGATGTTGCAGAGATGCTGCAGTTTCTTACAGCCCACCTGCTAGCCCCTTGCAATTGTGAGTGAAAAGAATGGGTTAGCCTTCTGCATTCACTTGGCTTCTTTCTTTCTCTAATCTGCACTGGCTGCAGGCTTTAGAATGGAAAGATAGCTATAGAGAGATCCCTGCGTTGCATCCTGTGAACAGATCTCTGGCCATTGCCAATCTTGAGCTTTGTGTGTGTGTGTGCTGAATCTTTGCAGTATTTGTTTGCTTTATGCAAAGCAGTTGTGCGATTGAAAAATTTTCAGTGCTGTTTTACTGGGGGAAGTTTCTATTTCTAAAAATGCATTGCTTGCTAAGATTAACAAGGGATACAAGTTGGTGTAAATACCATATCTTCTGGGCAGTTCAAAGTTGTATAAACTGTCACTATATCTAAGAACTGATGAGTATAAAATACAAATTTTTGCATGGTCAAGCTACTTGAAAATGGGGGTGGGGCAGGGTGGTATTTAAAACCAAAAGTGTATGTAATACAGACATGCTAGATCCAATTCCACTTGTTTCAGGGAATTAAGAAAAGAGATTCAACACTTTCTGGAGCTACGTTAATATAGAGGCTACTTCTGCAACCATTCTTAGCTTCTGTCCAGATGCTGTAGGCTTTTTCCACAGAAATTTCTCTGTCGGAAGGTGAGCTTAGGACATGATGGCCCTTGCAGCTTTGTCTTACCCAGTTTTTCAGTTTGTCAGCCTTCTAGTCTTGCTCCAGCATATGGTCTCTGAGGGGATCTTTTAGCGACTTATAGGTTTGTGAGGGGATGTCATGTGGAGGAGTGCTGTGATCTGTTCTTCCTTGCAGTGGGGGGCAGGACATGTTCCAATGGGGCAAAGCCCAAGGAACCAGGCTTCAGGTTGAATGTCAGGAAGTACTTCCTGACAGTTAGGACCCCTAGGATATGGAGTGGGCTTCCAAGGGAGGTGGTTGAGGTCTGATCAATGAGGGTCTTCAAGGAAAGATTGGGCGACAAAGTTGTTGGGGATTACATGAGCTGGGGCCAGGTATCAGATGAGAGGACCTGGGAGGCCCCTTCTGACTCACTTTGATTCTATGCTTCTGTGTCTGAGGACAGTAATGGAAGTTCCTAGGTATCTTGTATCTGACCCTGTAAAGTGCTGTGGTGGTAAATAATTTTTACCTTACCATTTTGAGAGCCAAGAAAATGTCTCCATATTTTTCCCTTCAGTGCAATGGAAAAGAGGGATAAGGGCTGTTTATTCCTGAATCCCCCTTGGAAGCCAAATGGCATAGGTGTAGAAGACTAACCTTTCTAGAGACTTTCAACCTTGATCTCTGTAAGAGTGGTCTACATTTCTTCAGCTGATGTATGACTTCAGGAGCTACTTTTTCCCTTCTGTAAAGCTCTGTGTTCTGTTCTTAACTTTCCCAGCTTTTGGAGGCAATAGATTTAAAAAAAATCTTTTGTAGGTTTTGCAGCTACTCTGCACTCTCAGTGGCATTGGCTATGAGCTGCTGGGTCATGCTTCAGGAGTTTCATTAGAACTCTATTTATTTATTTGTATTCAGTTCATGTTCTAAAGGGATAAACAGGCAGCCCTGCTGCTTGTACTTGACTAAATTCCATACTGCAGGGTGGGACTTAAAGTTGGTCTGTGTTCCTAGAAGTTGAAGACTGTTCCTTGTATAGCAAGGCCTCTGAAAAACTCCCCTTTGGTCAAAGGCTTACCCTGGCTGCTCATTACTTGTGTTTTACATAGCAGTTTCATTCCTATTTTTTCATTAACCCACCCCAGCTTCTGCAGTGGAGATGGGCTTGTCTGGTTATTTTGGCTTGAAGAATCAATGGGGCAAGTGCTTTCTTGGCCACAGGTTTCATGATCTTGTGCCAGAACAGTATAATGCAGCAGTAAGTGGTGGCCAGTTTGTGGTCCTTCAGATGTTTTGGCTCACAAGTTGCCCAGCCCTGACTTTGGGGAGCAGTTTATATGCACCCTAACTTAAACTGCTGTGGTCTTTGAAATTAGAAAAGAAAGCAGGCAATAGGAAAAAGCAGTGTGGTGTTCAGCTATGACTTGCTGCTCTGGGGAGCTCTGATACCTTCTACTCCTTTTCTCTTATATGTCATTTCATTGTAGTAGGTAAACCTGAGAGCAAGATGTGTCTCTGTTTAAAAAAAATTGATAAGAGTCACTTCATAGGGCAATAATTTTCTAAAGTAGGATAAAAATTCAGTAAAACATAGCTATGGTGCTATAAGTAGAAACTGGGCAAAATCTAGTTGGGAAGCGTTGGAATGGTTAGTGTTTCTTGCTAGTTAGCTATCTAGTTGAGGTGAAATGTAGCGGTGTGCTGTTTTTTCCTTTTTTCCACCAACTTCTAGCAGTAATAAAACCTCCTAATTAAAAAAAAGACGGTAGAGCAGATGTTATGTTATATGATTTCTGTAAAAGGTTAAGAAAATTTTAAAACCTTTGCATTTCCTTTAAAAATAACTCCAAGAAGCTCAGCAGCCAAGCCATACGATGGGGAGGGAGGAAAAAGAAATTGGTGCAGAATGCCTGGTATCTAATTTTGTACTGCCTGGTTCAGAATAGAGATGGTGAGTGTAGCAGGTCAGCCGGTGCTTCCTTGGCCAAAGGAATCCACAAGTTTAGATTCCTTCCGCTTTCTTTACCTTATGGGTGGTTGAAATGCAATCCCAATCCTTTTTCTTGTATGTTTTCTTTAAAGATTTTCTATCCTGTCATTGTACACTGATCTTGCATCTTGGCGGCTCCTTAAATAAAGTATAATTGTGGATTGAGTCTGGCTTTCTTTTTAGATTTGAAGTGCATTGAAATATGATCTGCTGCCTTCCTCTGTTAGCTACAATTTCAGGATCAGGCTGCTTAACATTTCCTTTCCCACTTTCAAATAAAAACTTAGATTCTGATGGCCATCTTTACTAGTATTTAGCTGAAGTAGAGTCCTAATATCTCTCATTTGGTTACCAAAATAGCCATGTTTTTAAAATAATAAATCTTCAATTCTCTGTTTAGATGCTGTCCAAGAGCAATAAATTATAAGCTTGAAATTGCTGTTCAGAATACATAGTACATCTCTGCTTTTTTAAAAAAAGTTTTTAGTGATTATGCCTGTAGATAAACCTTGATCTCTATAGCTGCATATCAACAATTCATCTCTTTAGGGAGAGATTTTGAATGGTGTATATGTAATGAAGGGCCAGCAGGTTGGCTGCACCTGAATGTAATTCTGCACAAGAAGAGAGATTGTCAAAGAGCTCTTTAATTTCTCCCTTGTAGCAGGAACATCGATAAAGTCTTTGGCTTAAGGATCAGGATTTACCTTCCACTCACCTACATAAGCCTAGGCAAATGTTAAATGAGCAGCTGACGTGATTAAGGATGAAACTTGGTCAAAGCCTCCGTTGCAATTAACATTGTGCTGTGACTGAGGAACTTGGTTTTCTGTTTGTCTACTGTCCTCAGAAAAAGATTGAAGTCCTGGAAGAAAAATAGAGTCGTTTTAGTCTCATTGCTTATTCATCATTTGTCTCCTTAATCTGCACAAAGCTTCCTATAGGGTGGGTGGGGTTTCCTAGGTAAGGGACCATAGTTTAGTAGCAGAATAATTGCTGTCCATGCAGACAGTTCTGGGTTCCATCTCTAGTAATAAGATTAGTTAGCAGCTGATAGGGAAGATGAGTGTCTGAGGCACACTGCCTGAGTAGACAATACTGTCCTGACTAATATGCAACCTCCTAGAAGTTTTCTGTGACTTTTTGCTCTGACTCTTTCCTATGTTGCTCTTTGGGCAGGCACACTCAAACTCTTTTGTGAAGACAAGATTGCTTTTATAGAACCGGGAGGATATGAAATTAGCCCTTGGCTATAGATCATTATTCATCCAGCCTGGTGCCCTTCAGATGCTTTGGACAAAAATCCCCATCAACTGAAGCAAATCTGGTCAGTGGTCAGGGATGATAAATGTTTTAGTCCAAATCATCTGGAGAATAACAAGTTGAGGAAAGATGCTCATGTTGGACTCATGGTGATCCCTCTTGTTCCTAGTAAGGCCTCCTCCATAATGAATAATTTAGAGATACCACCAATAAATCCTCCGTGGTCCTTGTTGCCAGCCCACATGTATTCTCACCTTGACTCTGCCCTCCTCTGGAAGAAGGGGACATTACACTGAGCTTCAGAGTCTGTTCTCGATAGCTGAGGAAAGGGATGGGAGCTTGTTACCAAGCTTTAGACTCTGGGGGAAAGGTAGATATCTTAGGGCTTTCCAACTAATTGAGGTTCAGTGCATTATCTGGGAGAGCCTCTGCTTTGAAGTGAGCAGACATCAGGGGAGAGCCCTTGCAATTCTCTAGGTATGGAAAATGAGTGAGGATTCTCTTATGATCCAGGTTCTCCTAAGAGTAAAGAATGTACTTGCCAGTGGAGAGCTGACAAAAGTATTGTGAATCATTGCCATTAACCTATTGCCTTTAAGTATGCAATCCTATGTCTGTTTAGACAGCTCTCAACATGTACCAGTCATTCTGGTTGGGGAATGCTGGGACTTGTAGGACCTATTTTTATTTGTGCATGAATAGAATTGTGTGCTAATACATTTCCCCTCAGACCTCCACAAGTACAGATTTCCTGAACTAAATAAATTGCTAGCAGAGCAATTTCATACCAAAACCCAGAGCCATTGTGGTGTAGTGGTTAAGAATGCTGGACTGGGACTCAGGAGATCTGGATTCTAGTCGCCACTTTGTCATGAAACTCCCTGGGTGACTTCAGGCCACTCAGACTCTCAGCCTAACCTACCTCACAGGTTGTTGTGAGAGCAGAATTAGAAGGAGAATTTTCTAAGCTGCCTTGGGTTCCTTTCAAGAGGAAGCAGGCAGAATATAAATCCAATATAACAAAACATGTTTTCATGAATTGTTATATTTTAATTTTTTACAATTAAGACAATTCATGTTACATTCCTTTGAATCAACATGTGGTATATTTTGCCCTTTCCCCAGCAAGCTCAGAATGGTGCAGATAATTCTTCTGTTACATTCAAAAAGCAATGAGCGTCATGGTTGAAAAGAGTCAAATCCAGTTCTCTCCTGTCCAGTACGTCAGCCTCTATGCAGTAGCTGTCCACTAAGAGGAAGGTTCTTACCCAGGTCATTTTCTTGCATATCCTCAGCTTGAGCAAAAGGGATATATTTTCTGCACCTGTTCCAGAATTCATGCTTCAGCTACACTGTAGCTTGTATCTCCTAACTTCTACTTTCCCCTAACTCTCAACTGCATTCATCTTAACTGTTTTTGCTTCACTGCTGTCTGAGGCTCGAGTTGATGGAGACACAAATCCTCTGATAGTCCTAAATAGTACACCTGCTGTTTATCTGAGAAGGTTGGCCAAAACCTGAGGTTCCACAATTGCTCAAACAGATTGAATTGCACAAATGGTGCCCTTATGCTAGAAAAAATGTTTATCGATATTTAATATATTTGTATACCACCCTCCATATTTCCAGGGAGTGCAGATTAACAAGGGTTATATAATGAAATAACAATCAATGCAGTAGAGTAACAGCCAGCATTGTGAAACACCAACATTTAAGGGCCTGGAAAAAATAAGCTGCTTGGTACTAACATAAGGGGTGGGCAAGCTAACCTGGGGAAAGAATTTCTCATCATAGCGCCAAATGAAGAATGTCCTATCATCTAGCCACCTCCTGCCTCAGCTTGAATACTGGGAGAAGGATCTTTGAAAGAAGAGTGTGTGTCTGTCGCCATCACAGTGCCAACATCTGTTAGCCCTCCCTTACTCTCTTCTGAAGTTTAGATGTTGCCAATTGGTGCATTTATATGTATCCTGGATCCATTTCTAGGTCAAGGGTACAGTGTGATGTGGTAGAGGGGGAATCAGGAGACAGAGCAGCCAACATCAGGAAGTGCAAGTTGCCTCGTGAATTTACTGAAAGTAGTTTGCTTGGCAGTAGGCAAGAGGTTAGAAGTCGCAGCTTCTTTAAAAAAAACAAAACACCTTATGTTTTGAGAATTGAGGGAGTTGATTAAATAGATAGGAAGGCCACTTTCTGTAAGGCAATATAAAATGGTCTGTTGAGTTCAGGTACTAACATTTAGCTTTTCTTCTAACACTGAAAGTGCGCTCCTTTGGAACTGAAGACCGCCCCACAGACCGTCCTGCTCCTCCAAGGGAAGAGGTCTACGAATATATCATCTTTCGAGGGAGTGACATTAAAGATATTACTGTATGTGAGCCTCCAAAAGCACAGCATAATCTGCCCCAGGATCCTGCTATTGTCCAAGTAAGTTATTCCCTCTAAAATGTCAGTGTTGGTTTTATCCATTAATGTAAGCTTTGATCACTTTGTTTGCCTCTGAGAATTTCTAGTTAAAATCAAAATGACTTTTAATAGGGATAAAAATTCAGGTGGGTTTATTAGTTCTAACCTAATGAGAACAAAGTTAAGTTCATTATTACTTGGTTATTCAAAATAAAATAATAGCTGTTGCTACTGTATATCCATAGTTATAATCAGAGGTTTCTAAATTGAGTTGCTCACCACAAGTACCTATCCAACAAATAGCAGAGTCTTAAACATCTAGCACCAACCTCTCAGTGGGTCTTTAAAGAAGGTGGTGGAAAATCCCTTGTACAAAACCTTAACACAAAGGAGCGAAACCATTCCGATGGGTAGGAGTTGGTGCTCACAGCAAATGTTAACTGATTATTAAGCCAAGCCATAAATTTGTGGTCTCTTGTTAGAATGCTGAATTTTCATGACTAACTGTGCAGAGATAATCCTAAATGCACAGCTGGGTGAGCCTTATCTTTCCCCAAATTAAATAGAGTTATCTGTAAACTCTTTGCCCCTTGTCACATTACATATTGAGACACATATTTTAAATGATTTTTACATATAAATGTTCACATTTTAAATGATTTGTAGGTTGCTTTCAATGTAGAATTCAGTATTACATTAATCATTCTTTGGGCTGTTCAGTTCAAGAATGACATACACTACCTGAATTCAAATTAATCTACGGTTGGGTTGATCAGAGATAGCCTGTTGAATGCAACACATGAACAGCATGCAACCCAGAAGTACTGGGTTGGTTATTTGTCCCTGTTAAGTGTGAGTCAGGTCATAGACTTTTGTGTGGTTATTCCTTGTAGCAAGCACTATTCCTTATTGCTGAAACAAGTGTAATAGTTAACTAGTCAAAATACTAATCTTTCTCAATGGAAATGTCAAACAATGGACTAAAAGTTTTGCTTTTAAAAGCATAAATTTAATACTTTCTTTTGCAGTCTTCCCTGAGCTCTGCTTCAGCATCTTCCTTTCAGCCTCATGTGCCTTACAGTCCCTTCAGAGGTATGCCGCCCTACAGTCAGCTTGCCGCCAGCTCTTTAATTGGTCAGCAGTATGCTGCTTCCCTTGGTTTAGGTGAGTAACAAAGTCTTTGTTCACCTTGAGGTGATAAATCTTTGTTTGAACTGTACCACTTCAGACTTCAGGAGTGGGTCACAGGGGATGTTTTGAATGGATGGAAGCTTTTTGTACTGGGAAGAGAGGCTATGAATATGTTACTTTTTTTTCCTGTTTGGAAGCATTCCATCATGTGAGCCTCTGCCTGGAGTCTGAAGTAGACCGCATAGACAAGTTTGCCATTTGCAGTGAAAATGAGGCGAAAGATAGATAGAACTTGGGCGTTCCTTGAGTGTTAAAGTCTTGGCATTGCAGCAGCCAATGTCTTAACAGAATTAAACTTGATCTCTTTGCTTTAGCTGAAGACTGGATATAAACAAGCCTTATGAACTAAAACTTGTATGGGTAATCCACCTTTAGGCAGGCTATTCAAGATGTGGTGCAAAGGATGGGGCTCGGATCGAAGCTGAAAGCTTGATGCTAATCCCAGTTAAGGCATAAAATTGTGATTACTATCAGCCTTGGTTTGTAAGCTGTAAAATGAGAGGAGTTGTGTGATCTGATTAAGTGAGAATTGTGCAGAGATTTGTTTTCTTGTATTGAGAATGCTCAAGAGATTTTTTTGGAAAAAGCACATAAAAAGAAAAATGGGGAGAGGGGAGGCAACCAGACAGGTATGCCTGCATTATGATGTAATTTTAAGTTCAATTATTAACTATTAACATGTATTGGCATAAAGTTGATGCCCAGTGCTGACTGACCTTATGTAGCAAATGGCTCGACCAAGATCTGTCTTGTTTCTGGTCAATTTCTTTCCAGTCTCAAAGCTGTAAAAACACAGATCTTGAACCACCTGTCTTTCCCAAGTCACTTGGATGTCTCTACTGCCTTGTGTCTTATTGGTGTCCCTCTTTCCTTTGTCTTCTTCCCTCCTGTCTTTCTAGAAAAACTGGTAAGCCCTCCAGCATCTGCAGCTGCTTCCAGCCCTAGTACTTCTTCATCTCCTCAGCCAGTTTCAGAGCCTGACTTGTCATCAGAGCCACATCTGCTGTCTTCTAAGGGTAACAGCAGCTTGAGGATTCCAAGTATTTGGAAGAACTGCATGGTGTTTGCAAAAGCATTTTGTCTTTTAACCCCCCTTCTTGCTCCTGAACAGAGTAACATCTGCAAGGATTACTGCAGTAGTCTGTTTCTGAAAACTTTGGTGCATTTGCTTCTGCTCCAGGTATTGGATTGGTGGATGAACAGGAGACTGAATTCCGGACAGTGATCTTAAAGTGTTGAGGCAAAACTAGCTAAAGGGAAGGAAGTTGCAGAATAGGACAGACATAGAAATGTGGCAGCTAGAAGGCATGGAAAATGGAAAGCGAGCAGTTACGGGTTCAGAGCCTTGTAATTGGAGCTTCCAGAAGTCTGGCTACACAGTTATGAGTTGAAAAACTATAACTGAAATGAAACTTAAGGGACCAATTCCTGATCTTGTAGTACTGTGATACCAAGAGCAAATAGAACATGCATGAAATGAAGCCACAGTGTTAAGGAATACCCTGTTATGTATTTTTGTGTCCTCATAAAATCCAATGCTTCCTGTGTACCTTTGCAATCAAAACTGTAGCTGAAGAGTGTGCTGCTTCTAAGCTGTTATTTGAGGCCAAATTTCCACAGTAACAGCTGAAAGTGCATGCTATGAGGGGAGAAGTTAAATAGAAATTTTAGTGCAGTATTGCTAAGAAGCTTAGCATTTGGTTCTGTGGGCTGTGAAGCATACTACTTTTTGTGCCAGTATTATCTCTCAGTTTTGTCTAAATGCAGTCATGTATTGTCTCTCTTCAGCTCAAGAATGTTGTTAATACTTTCTAGACGGGTTGCATTTCCTTGGCGTGTCCCTTTGAATAGCTGGTTTTCCAGTGCAGAGATCCAAGTAAATGTTGTCAAGGCTGCAAATCTAGCCAAATGCAGGCTTATAAATTATGGACTCTGTGGAAGCTGTATAGGTGGACTGAGACTAACATGAGAAAGCTATTGGAACATCTTTCAGGATATTTTCTGGAGAGGAGGGTAGTCAGTTCTGAGGTTGGCTGTAATATTTTCACATGCAAGAGGTAAGTTGTAGTTAGCCCAAGCAGATTCTTTCCTCCAGTACTGCTTTACATTTTAAAGATCCTGACTTAAAATACGGTATGTGTATTAGCCTCTGTGGGAAGAGATAATGATTAGGTATGCAAGTCCACAGTGCAGCTGCAGCAACTTAGTTCCCAGTTCAGATCTATATTCTCAATAGTAATCAGTCAACGTTGCAGTGAGACAGAATGAACTTCATGATGAAGTGCCTGGGTTACATCTTGCTATCATGGTGCGCAATACATACGGTCTGCTCTTTACACTTGTTTACAGTCTGAACTAGCCCCAAAATGCCATTGTAATGCAGTTTGCTAAACATGATAACTTAGAGTTACATGACACAGTGCCACAGTGTTTTCCTTCCGGAAGGCAAGAGGGGGATAATTTAAGTCCTACCGTAGAATGACAGGTATATGTGCAACAAAGCAAATTCTGCCCACAAACTATTAAGTCAGTAGGCTTGTGCTTTTTACCTAGTTCTACTTCCAGAGTGAATATTTATAAAAGAATGTTGTGTTTCTGGCAAGAATGTTGGTCCCCGATATCTTTCTGTTGGATTCTGATTTGTGTGATAAAAAGAAAAGATGGGCACAGGGCTTAGAACCTTTCAGTTGACCCAAGGCTGTGTAATGGCATACTATCCATTAGCAGTTCCCTTTCTTAACACATGTACCTACAAAGATTCCAGGCTTGCATATATCAGTCAGCTGGCTTTCAAATTATGTCATACTGTTGGACATTGGACCTAATTTCTCAGATAGGAAGCTAGTAGAATGCTGAAGGATCTCCTGAAATAGTCAAATGAGTTAGGGTTTGTCTGTCTTACGGTCTGAAAAGCTAAATTCTGCACCCAAACCAAATTATGACATTTGTGGGTTTATTGCTTTTTGCATTTTCTGGAATAAATCTGTTTATTGTCTGATCAAGCTCATTTTTAACAACAGTATCATGACACAAGGCAGATGAATATTAGCACTGGACCACTACCAGGAAACTTGGAGTGTGTGGCATGTGATGTTGTTATGTGTGGCATGGCTTGGAAGTGAAGGATCGAAATCCACCAAATATCAAGCACTCTTTCTAATAGCTATGATAGATGGGTACATTGATGTGTAATTCAGACCACCTTACCCCTTGTTCGTTGTCCCACTTAAATCCTGGGAACTCCTTTTTGATTTCCCAGATGGCCTTTAGCCACTGTACCTAAGTACAATTCCCAAAGTTGTGAAGAGATGCAGGTGAAATCTAAACCAGAGTGCTAACATGAATACAATAATGGTGGCCTATGCCAACGTTTTCTGTCAGGTGCTTTAGCAAACAAATGTGTAAGATTGTATGTGTGTTGATTTGTTCAACCTGATACTGCATCAGCTAAGATCTTTGAATAGTGATTTGAAAATGTCTAACTTTATTCTATGACCTGCAGATAAAACAGATTTGCTCATTTTAAACAGTTGTCTCAAATGCAAAGAAAATATTTTCTAGATTAAGATCTTTTCAGAACCTCTGTTCCTAACTCTTGGGGCAGAATGTGGGGAGCACAAGGACTTTGGACCAACAGAATGGTTACTGACAGCTGGTTCATTTTTCCTCAGGTGCTGCTTTTCCATCCGTTCATTCAGTACGGAAAAGTCCTATGGTAGAACAAGCTGTTCAGACGGGTCCCATTGACAACAACTTGAATCCCAAAAAAACTCCTCCAATCAAACCTACTCCAGTGGTCCAGCGCAATACACGTCAGATTCAACAAAATAACAAGACAAGTGGTATTGAAATCTTTCCCTTTAGAAATATGCCAAAATTCTATCTCTCTCTATATATATATACATAATATAAAAATATATCAGTTCAGAAGTCCGCTTGAATCTGCAATTATATCGTTTAGCATGTTGATTATATTGAGTGAACAGACTTTCCTATTTTGCCTTAGATACAGTTGAGCCAGTACCTGTACAAACTCAAGGGCAGGTGAATGATGAGAATAGAAGGCCCCAAAGGAGGAGATCAGGTATGTTACCTGACTGTAAATTCTCCAAACTAATTGAACTACCTTCCTGTGCGTTATTTCTATAGTATAAGATTGGACAGGAGGACGTGGATTAGTTTCTCATTAAGTTGAGGACTAGAGCAAAATGGCATCTGATAACTTCATGTATTTAGAAACAAAACTGTCAAGACAACAAAAACCACATCTGTGTGATCTATAAGGCCCTGAAGTCTTTATAACTTAAGTGACACAAATCTTAGGAAGGTGTGTTGGCCCATTGGGAAAACTTGAAGTTGAAATGACTTAAGAGTGCTTGAGCTGCCTTCAGTAGTGTTCAAGCGCATGGAAACCTGGTAAAGTAGCTAAAGTAACTGTGAATTAGAGTGCAGTTCTGTGGATGTTTAGACACAAATACACGTCCTCCAGAAAGAATTGTAACTCTCAACGTTCCCCAGCCAGTTGTAAGATGTTTTTTCTTCTTTTAGCATGCAGAACACTGCACCCTTGAGAACTATAAAGACTTCTAGTGAAGGACATGGGACAGCTGCTGGCCATGTTGTAATATTGCAGATTAAACAGAAAAAAAATGTTAAGGGTTATAACTTTAATTGAAGACCGCACCCTCATCAAATGTTGGGTTCATGAATATATAAGTTTGAATACAGAGATTTCTGGTGTAATACACCATTACCAGGTTCATAGACATTAATGTAAAAACTACCAGAGCTGGAAGCTTGCTGGAATTACTTTTACAGTGGAATTCAGCTGATGATGTGAGAGAAACGGCATCACTCTGTTGCCATAAGCAAGAAACTTGTGAGTTCATTCCTGGCTTGTCCAGAGTTTTATATACTCAAGTTAAAGAATTCAACTCTTTCTCTTTTCAGGAAACAGGAGAACTCGGAATCGGTCCAGAGGGCAAAATCGGCCAACTGCTGTAAAAGAGAATACAATAAAGTTTGAAGGGGATTTTGATTTTGAAAGTGCCAATGCACAGTTCAATCGAGAGGAGCTGGATAAAGAATTCAAAAAGAAACTTAACTTTAAAGGTGCGTAACTTTGCTGTCATGGTTGCTAGTCTCTCCTGAAATGTTGAGAACTAAGATAAAGTAGCTGGTAGGCTTGTGGGTGGGCAAATGTAGATATAAAGGGTAAATTTCCCCCCTTTTCCAGATGATAAGGTTGAGACAGGTGAAGAAAAGGGGGAGCCTGCAGTGACTGCTGAGAACTGTGATGGCAATGCAGATGAAGACCTCCTAGGACCCAACTGCTACTATGACAAAACGAAGTCCTTCTTCGACAACATCTCGTCAGAACTGAAGTCCAGGTAACTTAGGATCCTTTCAGTTTTGTTGGCTTTACAACTTTGTCACAGAAATCCCCAGTTTGATTCATGAATGTCTTTAAACATGCCTTTCCCAGTCTAGCTGTTTTTTAGATGTAATTGCTCTATCACTGAATCATCTCTTCTCCCAAAATTCTTCCAGTGTGTGCTTCCAGATATATTACATGTACTTACCTATGCTGTTAATGAAAGTGAGGAGCTGTGATTATTTGTCAATTAAATACTTTATACACATTGTAAATATGGAGCTAGTGAAAATGCTAATTGTATTGATAAATGGCTTCCATTGATAAGAAAATAGATGAGCCATCTATGTTCTATTGCCTGTAATTAGGAGCAGGGGGTGGCCAAGAGAGCTACAAGTCCAGCAGACTTGAGTGTGCTTATCTAAAAGCATGGGGGGGGGGCAGCCTGTGTCTAAATGTATAGGATGCCTCAAGTTCAACCTCAGCCACAAAGTGGGGTGGCCTTAACCAAGTCAAGTGGTCTTAGCTTCCCAATTCCAAATGGGGATGATACCTGGTATTCCTTCACAGGGTTTGCGGTAAGTGTTGCCAGGCGATGTGTGTGTGAATTGAACATTCTGAATTTGTGAAGGCTTAATCGTTGACATCTTTTGAGTGAAACCTAAAACTTGTTCTCTCTCAGTTACACATGACACTCATATCCTCAGTTTTCCATGGCTGATGAATTTGTAGTCGTGTGAGTCTTTAAACAGAGAGCAGTCAGTGGGGTATGCGGCTGATGGCTGAATACTGCTGCACCACGGGTTGGGTTTTATCTATATCCCTTCCTGATTACAATAGTCTAACTTGACAGACTGCTTGTGGTTGCTGTTCGAAATTCATTAAGCCTTCATTACAGCTGTACTGGACAGGTGCTGTAGCCCTTTAGAACATGTAGGTGAACATTGTCAAAGTGGACCTCTGAAGCCCAGTCACACTGCTTTGTTCTCCCTAATGTCTGTGGCTTAAACTGGAGGTTGAGCAAGCCCGCTGGGAGCAGGGGAGAGGGATTTGAAGTGGAGGACCTGGGACTGCTATACACAAAGCCCTGTAAGAACTGATATTTTTCTTTTTCCGATCTCTTCCCTTTATAATTTTGCTCCCAGTTATATCGGGAGGGAAATTATGTATGTTGGTTCCAGGGCAGGCACACATTTCCTCCAAGGGAGTGCCAGGAATAGGAAGGCTAAGAATTCTCTGGATTGAAGCCTTTTCCCAATCTGTTCCTGACACATCCAAAGAATTGGTCCCTTTTGCCTGCAAAGCTTTCCACAACAGCTGAGAGGGGGTTGTGCAGGCATACCAGAAGAGAAGGAGATCTGAAACATCCTATAGCCCTTTCAACACCCTCCATTGAATTGCAGCCTTTTTCGAGATGCAGTATACCTTCATACCTCTGCTCATAAGGTTCCACAAGTATCTGGCTTCAGTTATGTTTCAGTGGTAAGACATGGGCATAATGTTGCATTGCACATGTTTCTGAATTCAGTGGCATATTTTGATGGTTAATGTATTGGCTAAAATAAGTATCTGGGGGAAAAGTTTTAAAATGAAAATTCCATGAGGCACACCAATGGGTTTTAAGAATTAAACAGTACCAGTCATAGCTTCCAGCACTATGTGGGCTCTGCCTCACTTCTGTACAGTGGGCCCTTTCTGTTGCTCATGCAACTCTCTTAAAGAAAATGGTGCTGTATCCTGAGAAACGTGATTCGCAATGTGAACTTGAAACTAAACTTGTTTTCAGCAAGAAAACTCATAACGTGTTCCTTAGTTCAAGGCGTACAACGTGGGCTGAAGAACGGAAGCTCAACACAGAGACCTTTGGCGTATCTGGCCGATTTCTCCGTGGCCGTAGTTTTCGTGGGGGATTTCGTGGTGGAAGAGGGTCTGGAGCTGTCAGGAGAAGTCAGGCTACTCCCCGAGTGGGCACTGGCAGAGTGTGAACATTGCAGGCAAGCTATCAAAATAAAATACTGTCATTTCCCTGTCCTTGAGCAGTTGTGTTGGGTATGCTAAGGAAACCAAAGTATCCATTCCAAAATGAGTTTATCCTCCAAACCAGCTTACTAAGTTCCTTGGGCAGTTCAGCTAATTAAATGTATCTGGCAGGTTATACCTCCATGTGCCCCAGTGTGTAGCTCATGCCTTGATGGTGAGCCAACTGTGAAGCTAAGCCTTTCCCCATCATTAGCCTGTCTGCCACTGTCCTTATGGGCATGCCTGTGTATCTCCAAGGCCTTAACGTCTACAGCAGAGATGAGGAATCTTTCAGCCCAAGGGCCAAAATTTAGTTTGGGAGTACCTGTGGCGGGTGGGATACATTCCAGTAGTGGGGAAGGAGGTGCACCATTTTTTTAAAGAAAGCCTTTTGTTGTACCTGAAAGCTCTTACTGGCATCTTGGCATCGTAGAATGAAGGGTGAGGTCAGGGAAGAGATGTGGCCATCTGGGAAATGGGGGGAAGGGTCAGATTTGCCGCCCCTGCCCGAGATTGCCTATCCCTGCTCTACAATCTGAACATGAAAGCTTTCAGTGTATCTATTTTAAATATCTCAGTAATTTACCAAGTAACTGGCTAGCCTACAGACATTAACTTTACATGCTTTTTTTCTCTCTCCCTGTCAAGGTTCTCAAGCACATTGCTATGGATACATGTACATAGGAAGGAGGGAACAATCAAAACTGCTGCACTTAAACTTGGGTGAACGGAGCATTATATTCACAAGTGCAAACTCCAGTGGCACTCTTGCGTGTGTCTCAGAGCAGGATCAGAGCACTGGAGTAACTTGAAAAGAAATGTGCTGGAAAGCCACCTCTTCAAGGAGTTTTTAGTTTATATTTAAAGTAGTGCAAGGACCTTGTGCTGCTTCTAGGTTCCAAAGACTGCTGTAGCTGAACACATGGAACACTGGTTCTGTTTCCTGAAGGAGATGACACAATTCTAAATTCTTTGAAATGAACCAAAGGTCATTTGAAACCAGCAATCTTTCTTAATCTGAGAAGCCAAGATTCTTCTGGTCTCCTTCTGTTCTGCCTTCCTGTTATGTCTTCTCAATCCCACCTTTGGTTCAAGCAGATAGTTTTGATGTCTAGGGAAGAAGTTCTAGTGCAAAAAGTTGTGTGTGACGTGGTGATGGGAATTGTTGCTGATCATGTATCTGTAATTCTGGGTTCACCATTTCAGAAGTTTGTTTGTTTTCCTGGGGACCTGTACAGCAGAGTCACTTGGAGTGCTGGTCACCCCTCTGAAGGAACACTATGCATCTAAACTGGCCAATGATGTGCCATCTTCCAGCTTCCTAATGAAAGGAGTCCCTTTTCCAGCACTGCAATAGAGCTTTCTGTATAGGGGGAGGACTAAAGATTATGGGATGCTCTTTTCAGTGGTTCTTAAGGGAAACTGGTTTTACTTCTCTCATGTAAAGGGGAAAGTCTAAGTTTCTGGCTTCAGGTCCTTCTTTTTGTGGAGAAGGAGCAGTGTGTGCTGCTCTCGGAGTTGAAGTAAGATACTGAATCCTCAAAATGGGGAAGGAGAGCCCAAATGAAGCTTGGGGCACCAGCGTGTTCAGTCCTCCTCTTAATCCTACCTCCCCAAGCTCTATAAATAGTTCAGTCTTCCCCCCCTCCCGTTTTTAAAATGATTGGAGGAGATGAACAATGGGTGTGCAGTGATTATAATTTTTGCATGGAAGTGGGTTAAGCCTTTAGTAATAGGCATGTGTCCCTTTTGTTAGCTATAGGAATGTTTTTGTTGAAAGGCCTCTGTAAGCCTATGTCATTTTTCTCCTGCCCATTTGGTCCTTTCATGACTAGCAGTTTGGGTTCCTCCCCTAAGTCGACCATTGATTTAAGTTGTTGTAAAAGCTTTAGTTTGTTTCGTAGGCCTTCATCACAAAGGATTATACATGGTGGTGAGGCTGCTTTATGGAGTCATGTAAATTGTAATTATAAATAAACATGAAAATGTTTAACCCTCTGAACTTGTTCTGTTGGTCAGCAGTTCTCTGCAAGTAATCTTGCTAGGTTGGAATAAAGGAAAACAAAGTGACTGAAAATGTTGCCAAAACCTGCTAAGCATTGGAGGATAGGTTGATTTTCATGCCTGGCTTTGTTCTAATATGAGGTAGAACAGTCAGAGCAATTTAGAGTGCAATCCTATGCAAGTTAAAGCAGAAGAAAGACCTACAGCTCACAGCATACCCAAGCAACACAGCTATAGGCCTTTTTTCCTATCTAAACTTGTATAAGACTGTGCCTTTAAGGATTTTGTTGTATTTCATTGTAACCTGTCAAAATCATTCCATTCTGGATGCAGTTCCATTTAATGGTAACCTCTTTTAACCTCCTTGAGGAATAATGAGTTATAATATCTTTATAATAAACATACAGATAGCTGGCACCAAAGTTTAGTGCTTGAGGGAAAAATGTCGCTGGAACTCTTCTGAAAGCCTATGAGACCCTGGATAGCATTCAGGCCCTTGCTCACAGCTATAGCTCTCAATTAGTTAGGATTTTGTAGAAAAATTTGAATTGGAAAAAATTTCAGAAATAGAATGATTTGCCTCAGGAAAATTTTGGGAAAATTAAGGGATTGACACTTGAATTACGGGATTGAATTGGAAAATCTAAAAAGTACTTAAATGTTTTGTCCCAATACCCCACAAGCATTTCATAGAAATCATAGAACAGTAGAGTTGGAAGGGGCCATGAAGGCTATCAGCTCCAACCCCCTATTGGTGCAGGAAACCAGTTTACCCCAACCCACTCAGATGGCTGTCCAGTGTCTTCGTGAATGCCTCTAGTGTGAAAGAGTCCACCGCCTCTAGGCAGCTGGTTCCACTGTTGTACTGCTCTGACAGTGAGGAAGTTGTTCCTGATACATAGCCTGAATCTGTGTTGTCACAACTTGGCTTAATTATTCCATGTCCTACACTCTGGTATTCCTGAGATCTTGACCTTTCTCTTCGTGACAGTCTTTGAGGTACTTAGAGGGCTATCATGTCTTCTCAAGGCTGAACATGCCCTGGTCCCTCAGTCTCTCCTCACAGGGCAGTGCTTCCAAACCATGGATCATTTTTGTTGCCCTCCTCTGGACTGTAATTTTTCTGCATCTTTCTTAAATCATGGTGCCCAGAACTGGACACTGTATTCCAGATGGGTTTCGACTATTGTAGTAGTAGTAGGGAAGTACTACTATTTGTGATTGGAAATAACACTTCTGCTAATGCATCCCAAAACAGCATTTGCTGTTTTGTTAGCTGCATCGCATTGTTGGCTTATATTTAGCCTATTGTCCACAATTACTCCGAGATCTTTTTCAGTTTTGTTGAGCCACATATTCCCCATCCTGTATTGATGGATTTGGTTTCTTTTTCCTAGGTGGAGGATTTGGCATTTGTTCTTATTAAATCTCATTCTGTTGCTTTCAGTCCAGCATTCATCAAAAGCACCCTGGATCTTCATTCTGTCTTTTCGGGTGTTTGCTATTCTACCGAGTTTTGTATCATCTGCAAACTTGATTATCTTTCCTTGTACTTCCTCATCTAAATCATTAATAAAGATGTTGAAAAGCACTTTGAAGGGGAAAATAAAGTTCACTTATTGTAGTTTATTCTGTAGACATTTTTATTGGACTATTTTTTAAAGATTACAATTGCATGTATTTCCCTTGCATTGTTTAAGTTAAAAAGTATTGAAAATTAGAACATTAATTAAATTTAGCAACCCAGATCTACATGTTTTGACTAAATGGCCTTCAACTGAGTTTAGTTCCCTTCAGTTCTGTTTCACAGAGGAATTTATGCTCTTCCTTTGGGTGGTGGGGAGGGGTGTCATCTCAATATTTTCTGGGATAATGGCCTGAAAAATATTAAATGCAACTTGAATGTTCATGTTTGGTGAACACTAGGTCTGCAGTTGGCATCCATTCAATGTTACTAAGGAACTTAGACATAGAAAATTATCCATGGAAGAATTAAGCACTGAAAAGTTTTCTGCTTGGCATCATGCATAGTAATGGATTCAGCTGAGTACCCTAAAAAATCAGTACATACTACTGCAAATTGCAGGAAAAATTAGGTGCTCTTGACAACAGAACTGTGAAGTACAAAAGTATGCCAGTCAGCTCACCTGTGTTCTTACCATGCAGAGTTCTAGAACAATGTTTCTGCGATAATTTCTCTGAATTCTCCCAAATCTAATAGACTGTTCACCTCTCTGTAAACACTTGTTAAAGGAGCAGGGAGGAGTGGAATGTTCGCCATTCAGTGGTGTAGAATAAGAAGCCCCTCTCCAGTTTTCCAGTGGGAATACTTTAGAAACATGTGTAACTAGAACTAGCCCTAGAACAAAAGTAACTCCTGCCAGGGATGTTGTGAGAGACTATCTGGGGCACATGCCCATTATCTAAATTTACATGTAGAAACATGCATGAAAATTTAGAGAGACTAGAATTTATCTACATTTCACCATTGGTAGCAAAAACAATGAAAGACTGTCTCTGAGTATATGATGAATGTTTTCTCAACACTCAGCAGTTGCCTTTTCTACTACACACCCTATGGAGACTTAAGCAGTGAGTACATTGTTTGCAAGAAAACCAGAACCGGATGGCAGACACTTTGTCTTATTTCATTTTCCAACAACTCTTCATTGAAATGTTTTGTGTTTTTGTCAACTCGTGTGTGCAAGCTGAACTTGAGGTATACAGTGGTAGTGGTCTGCAAACAAATAGCTAGTGATATTCTGCTTTTTCTTGAGCGTTTCCCCATCATCTTTGTACAAATGAGTGTGTGGTTGCAAAAGTAGAATGCATAAGGAATACAAATCTACAAATACCATTGGGTAATTTGCAGGGTCCAGAATGGTGCAACTGGATAGCGCCCATTGTCTCCTGCCATGAGAGCTGCTGCTAAATCTTAGCAAAAGAATCTGTTGCCAATGCTATGCAGGACTGAGTAAGGAGAGAACTACCTTAGAGTTAATGCCTGTGAGGGCAATGCTAAAAGACTGCATGAGAAACAGACAAAATACATAGGATAGGGCTGAAATGATAGCTGTATTAGAGGAATGGACTCAGGTGGGCAGTTTAAGCTGCTTTCCCCGGCTCAGAATTTATTTCTGAATAAGCATGCAGAAAATCAGGATGCAAATCTCCCCACAAAAATCATCTGGATTGGAAGTCTGATGTGCTTTCCTGGAAAAAACCCTCAGGTTTATGACCATGTGAACCTGCTTTGCTGAAAGACTTAAGAGAAAAATACTATTTTTAGCAATGATCAAATCTAGACTGGCTTCTCACAGGTGTGGTTTGGTTCATGGGTACTAGCCTTTTGTGATTTGGAGACAAGTAGACTTCCTTACCTTGGCAAATGAAGCACAACTTAGCAAACTTAGAGTTTTCAAGAGCCAGGATTTCTTGCAGGCACACTTTTAAAGAGCTGATGCATTCATAGTGCTACCCAGTAGAGCTCTCAGCACTCCCTCTGCAACTCAGAATTAGTTAAAGGAGCGCCCACATGTTGCAAGAAACACCTTCAATGTTGCAATAACTCATGTTTCAAAATAGTTTGCATTGTTAGACCAATTAAGCAAAATAGCTGTTTCATCTATGCAAAATATATTCCATGACATTGCCTAGAATATAACTATCACTTGCCATGGTTTCAGTTCTCTCTTAAATTGCCACATGTAGAGAAGTCCCATGATGCCCATCCCTGAGACCCACCCTTATTCTACCATTTAAGCTTGATGCTACACTCTAAACTGTGCTTAACCTGCTAGCCTCTATTTCATCCCAGAACCTGACTAGCATGTTAGAACTTGTGCTTCAAGTGGCTTTCCCTCTAGAAATCAAGTTATAAACTAAGTTGGTATTGCACTGATGCACATTCTGTACATTTGCGTATTTCCCTCTCAGTTTGGTGTCAGGCCTCCGCAGAGGAAAGCCCAAACCCTGCAGAATGTGATGGGTTTCTGTTCCAGCTGCTGCAATGGATTGGGAGTTTCACAGCACTTCAGGTCACGAAATCCCACAGATGCAACATTCACAGTGCATTGCAAAGTAACCACTGCTTTAATGTCTCGCTGGTTTAGGCTTTCATTGCTAGGCCTCCGTTGAAAAACATCCATGGACACTTTTCTTTAACATACATATACCAAAGTTACTGTACTGGCTTCAGCAGACTAAAGAGTATGGGCCTGCATTTGACAGATAGCTAGATGCTTCAGAGCATTGCTTAGACTGGTAAATACAAAATTACCCATTGCTGCCTCCTACTTTTCGTCTGTCACAGTGAATTTTAGAATATACTTCAACCTTCCTCACTGAGAACTTTGGCAGGAACACATACGGTATTCTGCAGTTGTTCTTCCTGAGAGGCACTGCTACAACCAGGGTTTGTCTCACTGCTGCCGCAGCCATGTGTAACATTACTTGTATCCATCTTTTTCATATACAATTTGCAATTTCCCCTTTAAGGTCTAGTTCACAGAAGACAGGCTTTGATTTGCTACCACAAGGTGTTTTGCCTGCATTTGAAGTAGAAAAGAAACTTTGGGGGAAGGAACAATCAAAACAAAACATATTTCAAATTTTAGGCTGAAATAGCAAAGGGAAAGGCACAACTAAAAAGTCATTTTTCCCAGCCTAAGCCTAGAATTTAGAGTAGTGTACCGTGAAATGAGTATTTTATTGAATTTAGAAAAACTATTTCTACCATGCTGTTATATAGCCAGTTTACATATAAATCATCCATCAAAACTTCCAACTGATTACAAGTTTAAATTTTAACTTTCATACCCCAAGTGCAGCTCTGTGTTCTGAACCATCTTTCAGGGGAAAAAATGGCAAATATAGGGCTTTGATATGAATAATTATGGCAATATGGAAGAGCTGCAATAGAACATACAAATTATCAAGGCAAGCCATAAACAGGACTGAGTAATTTTCAATATCAAAGTGAAGGTTAAGTCATGAAAA